TGAGATGAAAAAACACACTTTAGAGGTTGCACACAGGTCGGACAGCTGACAAAACACAGCATTTTTTGGACTTTATAATGTCATCCCTGTCCAGTTGTCTTTTACTAAGTTACTCAGATACTCCCACTTTCTTAATAAAGTCTTATCATTCTGTAGTCCAATATTAGAACTAGGAGGGCTCTTTGAAATAACACAGAAAGTGCAAACAGGTCACAGGATGGCTTACAAAATACAGCACTTTTGTGGATAGAGTGGTGTCAGCCCTGCCCTCTTGTCTTCTGCTAAACTACTCAGCTACTCCCATTCTCATAATAAAGGAACATCCTTCAGTAGTCCAAGATTAGAACAAGCATGAATATTTGAAATAACAGAGAAAGTGACACAAGGAAGTTGACTAAACACAGCATTTTGCTCTTTGATTGTAAGCTCCAAGGAGCAGGGCCCTCCTAACCCTCTTGTATTGAACTGTATTGTTGCTGTATTGTATCCCTTTTATATTGTAAAGTGCTGAGCAAACTGTTGCCACTATATAAATCCTGTATTATAATAATAAAAATAACTTTTATCAAATTGAGTGGTCTCAGCCCTACCCAATTGTATTTTGCAAAACTTCTCAGCTATTACTACTCTCAAAATTATTATTATGGATTCTAAGATTAGAACTAGGTTGGCTCTTTGAAATAACACAGACGTAATCTAGACTCCCTCCTCTCAAGAGCCAGTAACCTCTCTATATTGCAGTGCATTTATAACCTTGGCATGCCGTGCTACCCTATCCTCTCCCAGGCACATTTATGCCAGAAATGGACAATCCAGCATTTTTGCAAATCACCAATTGGTTGGCCTATCCTGCCAAAGTAAAATGAAATTCTTCTTAATCAATCATTGTGGCACTGTTGGCAATCTGTTTAATGCTCAGATCTGTTAAAAATGTAGTTAACAGATGTTGGTTCACGTCTTCCTCTAAGTACTTCTACTTTCTGCACCTCTTATTTATAAGAGCCAATCGGGATTTTGACAAATTTAAACATTCAGATGAAAGTGAAGATGATAAGAACAAAAATTAGAGCTACATTTGCCTGCAGCTGGGGCTTCTAAATACCCAGGAGGCTCAGAGTCACCAGATGTTGGTTCACATGTTCCTCTAAGTACTTCTATCTTCTGCACCTCTTACTGGTTTTATGATAGATAATAAACTCTGGCATGCAGGACCTCCCTCTTCCCACTTTTCTTTGTTTCATGTCATTCAAACCCTACATTGGGTTGGCATTGTAGCCATGTATTTGCTATTGAAATTTATTGTATAATTTGAGAGATGTTCAGGGGATCAGATCCACAGGTAACAGAAAAAAATGCATGGGACACAATCTGGATAACATATAATAAATACCCTACTGGCTTGCTCTAGTACCTTTTCACTCCCACTGAACAAGGCAACGAAAGCAATACATTTGCAGTACATATTATTAACTGGGAGCCCTAAACACAGATAAACCCCCCCCAAAAAAAAAACCAAAACAAAACAAAACAAAAAAAATAAGAAAAACTGCAGTTGTAATTTTTTAATGGGTTGTAAACCTTCGCATATACCTAATGAAATGGTTGGCCTCAGGTGATATACAGAGATGAAACAAATCCTTCTACATAGGTTGTACCTGTTTATCCACAGTCTTATTTTCTCTAAATCCATTAAATGTGCTGAATTAATAAAGCTTGTCTGAGAGTTCAGAAAGAAAAGGGGGGTAGGGGGGAGAGCTGAAATTACACTCTGGAGAGCTCAGTGAGGAGAGCTCTGAGAGATGATTGGAGGGAAGTGACACCCCCCTTCCACACTGCTCACAGGAACAGAGCTGAGGCTGTCAATTAGCTGACAGTTCCTCCCCTATCACCATTTTTCTCTTGATGTCAGGGAAACTTGTTAGAAATGATTCTTGCTCATTGCAGAGGAACTAAGCAGCAAGCAGAAATGACACTTAGTGCTCTTAACTGAGGCAAGTACACAATATAGAGGGATATGCTTTGTCCATATTTCATGTCTGAGGTTTACAACCACTTTAAGTTGGGTAGGGAAATCTGACTGGAAATCTTTCTTTCTTTCTTTGTTCTTTCTTTCTTTCTTTCTTTCTTTCTTTCTTTCTCTTCCTATCCCCCTTTTTTCTCATTTTCCCCTTCACTTTTATTGTCTCTCTCCTTAAATTCCACTTTTTCTACCCTCCTCTCTTTCTCTTCCAGCTCTCCTCTCTCTGCCTCAATCTGTTTAGCATTATATAAGTAACTAAAACATGTGGATCTTAAGTCAGTCAGACCAGCTACCCTGCATAATAACCTTGTATTAATATCATGAATAGGGAAATAGTGCCACCTCTCAGACAAAAGTGCACTTATTCAAGAGAAGCAGTTTCATAGAAATGCAGATTGCCAGAATGTGCATCAGATATAATTTAATTCTAAGTTAATTTACATTTTTTAAATGGTGATGCTAATAAAAATCAAGAAAAAATTCTACTAAATTAAATGATAAGGAAAGACTTTTAGTTAATGATATTTTTTTACACAGCAGACTTGCAAGTAAATGCCCCAGTTATTGGATGTTTAAACTGGGCCTATATTTAATATCTAAAGTTTGCCTATCTAACAGCGATTTATTGGCAGTTTAATATGACATGGCAAGAAATAGAATAAGAAAACATTAGAAACCACTGAGCATTTTTGCACAGGTGACATTGCATTTGCAGACTTATTATTAAGGTCATAACAGCCAGTCAAAATTTTGATCCTTAAATTAAACATTCAATTGAAAGTGAAGATGATGGGAACAAAAGAACAAAAATTGGAGCTACATTTGCCTGCAGCTGGTGCTTGTAAATACCCAAGAGGCTCAGAAAACAGTCATTTTGTTGTAAACCATTGATGAAGAAGGCTTGAGATTCGGAGGTAAATACAACCAAGCGGGCCTTTTCATAACAAGGAAGGGACAGACTTCTGAGGGCTGAAGAAAGAGTTGGGTTTTTCTAAAAAAACATGGTTTATTGTGACACACCTTTTCCCATCCTCCAGCATCAGCTTCCTTTGTGTCTCTTGGCATCCAGTCACTTGGCATCTCAGAGCTGCGAATAAAGTTGTTTCTGGAGCACTTTCCTCTGCCAGATACTTTGATCAGAATTGTGAACATGGACCAGGAAGCTATATAATGCCTAGCAGTTGTCACTGACTGTGATTCCTAAATTGTGAAGTGTTTCTACTTAGGTGCACAACTCAACAGGTCCAGAGGGAATGGGAAGGGGGGAAATGTTGCCTGCTCCCAGCCCAGTTCTTCCTTGCATAGAACACATAGTATGAAAGCTATGTTCCAACTTACTGTAGGAGTCAGTTGCAATTGAAAGTCTGTTCTATTCAGAAAATGTGCCTGTTAGCTACCAGAAATTGCCTCATACATCATTCAATTTTCACTGCCATTTACCTTCTTATTGTATGCCAGGGTTTACAACCATGATCCTAAAATGTTAAAACCTTTCATATCATCATTACCATTCTCATGTCTATGTTTGTATGAGGGTTAAAGCATATATTGCCAGCACACAGGAGATCTTTGAAATAGCGTCCAAAAGTTTATTCAAGCGATCACATCACAGCATAAAGTTGAAACATTTCAGGGCCCACGAGACCCCTTCATCAGGCGTGTTAACAGGCAGGAAGGGGACCTTCGCAGCCCTGAAACCTTGAAATTCTAAGTTGTGATGTAATTGTTTGAATGAACATTTGGACACTATTTTAAAGATCCGTGGTGTGTTGGCTTTAACCTTGTTGATGCCAGTTCCCAGCCTGTGGTTGCTACAGCATCCACCTATTACAAATCCATTTCCTGGAACGTGTGCGATGGGAATTTTTTACTGTGTTAAGTCACGTAATTCTAAGTGAGATCATTTCAGACAACTTTCTGTAGCAGAAATTCTACTAGTTCACTCTATTCCTGGATGTTTTCAATCCAATCAGGCTGAAAAGATTGACTCAGACCATTAGAAAAATGATTTACAAAAGTCCATTCAGTGCAGTGGTTCACCCACATTTAGCACTTCTCCATCTACAGAGTGCTCCTCAGCCACCTTAGCCTTCTGCAATAAGAATATATACAAACTACACTTTCAAACACATATTCTTGTTAGCTAGGATCCACTTACCATATAGGTCCTGCAGTCAGTAGTATGATGCTACAAAAAGTCTTTATATAAAAACCAAACTGAACATTGTGTAAAACTTTTAAAAAAATCCTCTATCCACAGCTACCAATCATATGCTAGCTATCATATCTCTTACCTATGTGAGACATCAATTTTTATTTTTTAATCTTTTCAATTTTCTCAGTGATAAAATGTTTCAAAAGTATTGGGACATCTGCATTTACCTGCACATGTGCACATGAACTTTAATGGCATCCCAGTCCTAGGTTAATATTGAGTTAGCCCACCCATTGCAGCTATAACAGCTTCAACTCTTCCAGGAAAGCTGTCCACAAGGTTTAGGAGTGTGTCTTTGGGAATGTTTGACCATTCTTCCAGAAGCGCATTTGTGAAGTCAAACAAACTGTTTCCGCAAAGTTGATTACATAAAATTGTCCAAAATGTCTTGGTATGCTGATGCCTAAAGAGTTCCCTTCACTGGAACTAAGGGGCCAAGCCCAACCCCTGAAAAATAACCCCACACCATAATCCCCCCTCCACCAAACTTTACACTTTGCACAATTCAGTCAGGAAAGTACCATTCTCCTGGCAACCGCCAAACCCAGTCCATCGGATTGCCAGACAGAGAAGCGTTATTTGTCACTTCAGAGAACATGTCTTCAGTGGCAGCGTGCTTTACACCACTGCATCCAACGCTTTGCATTCCACTTGATGATGTAAGGCTTGGATGCAGCTGCTCGGCCATGGAAACCCATTCCATGAAGCCAGAGAGCTACACTGTTGTTGTTCTAATCTGAAGGCCACACGAAGTTTGGAGGTCTTTAGCTATTGACTCTGCAGACAGTTGGCGACTTCTGTGCACTGTGTGCTCTGTCATTTTACATGGCCTACCACTTCATGGCTGAGTTGCTGCTGTTCCCAGTTGCTTCCACTTTGTTATAACACCACTAACAGTTGACCGTGGAATATTTAGTTGCAAGGAAATTTCACAGATGGACTTATTGCACAGGTGGCAACCTTTCACAGTAACACGCTTGAAATTCAAGAGAGAGTAACCCATTCTTTCACAAATGTTTGTAGAAGCAGTCTGCATGCCTAGGTGCTTGATTTTATACACCTGTGACCATGAAGGTGGTTAGAACACCTGAATCCAATGATTTGGAGGGGTGTCCCAATACTTTTGGCAATATAGTGTGTGTGTGTATATATATATATATATATATATATATATATATATACCTCATGCTGGCTATGCTTATTCTTGTGTACATATACTCATGAGCATAGATCCTGGCACCCCTGTGGCCTATTTGATGTGGTTGTAAAGGCTCAAGATTTTTTACTTTCATGCATTCTATACATGAAAGCAAAACACTTTCTGTGTGCAGCAGTCCACCTAATACTTACCTGAGCCCCATCGTAATCCAGGAACGTGCACAAGCTTCGACTCTCCAGGGACTCTACCTTCTCATTGGCTGGAATAGCAGTGGGGGCCCCGTGGAGGATCTGGGCTGCTATGTGCAAAACCACTGCATAAAGCAGGTAAGTCAAACATGTTTGTTATTTTTTTTGCTTTTAATATCACTTTAAATCTAACGTCTGCCTTTAATCATCAACTCAGCTTGACTCAGCCTGACTCCATATTTCCACTCAGTGGATCACTGTACTCCCAAGCTCAAGTTCACTGCTCCATCTTCCTGGCACCTGTGTCCTTCCGCGACCCTAGCAGTCCTTTTTCCAACACCAGGGGTGCTTGGGTGGCAATTGTATAAGAGGCCACCTTTGTCATCTCGGGCTCCACAATCAGGTGATTGGCATAAATATAACATAGGGTATATTTAATATTTTTTAAAAGCCCCCTGACCATAATAAGAATGAAAATAAAATATATGCAAATATACTATACATTTCTTTAATGTGTTAAAATATGTATTTATTATATAATTTTTAAATAAATAACATAAATTAGAGAGTAAGACTGCATACCTCCAAAAGTGTTTATTACAAAAGAGTGTTATCCTAAAAGCTTTTTTTTTTCCTTTTAAGCTTTGGATAAAGTAGAGAGGGATTAGAACACCTGCCATGTTTTTATTGTTGTCTGTGTCCCAGTTAGAAAGATTAACCCTCTCTGTCCTGTTTACCATTATCATTGAAACTGAAAGTAAAATAAAAACCCAAATTTTGGGTTGTCCTTAGAACATTATTAGAGGGTAAAGCCTGAAGAAAGCTGAAAAAGATAGTTTTCTGTGCTCAAATTCAATATTCCAGAGCTCTGCATTCTGTATTTATGCAAATCGTATGCCCACTTTTGCACAATGGCAGGACCTAGCTTTGTCACAAAGTGTACACTCCAAAAACCAGAAGTACCACTGTAGCTTGCATTCCTGACAGATCAGAAGAGTGTTTCAGCCCACTGGAAAAGGCTTACCATGCACTCCGGTGAAAGAGGCACTTGTGGGTCTTTTTATTTAACGGTGCTACAATTTTATTCTACTTTTTAAAATGAGGTCAGTTTAGTTTAATTTATTACAGGTTTATTGCTGAATGCATCCCTACTGAGTAAAGTTTTCCTTATGACCATTTTTGCTAATTGATGGGAAATTAAAATTTTACAGGAGTGAGAGAAAAACATCAAATGGGGACACCTGTTCTGGTGGCAATTGTTTAAAGAGAAGGATTCCCTTCCCTTAGATAACAAAAGAGAGGGATAGGGAGTGAAATTTCTCTATCGGGACACAGATAGCAAAAAAGTTTTTGCCTACACATATACTTTAGTAGTATCCATTCATCCATCCATTTTTATTCTGACTAATCCAGTAAGATTTCAGAAGACAGTAATTTGAAAAATCCATTCCACATGCTATATTCCCCACACATGGAATCTAGCCTTTCCTGGGAAATGCCTGTATATTGCCAGACCAGCTGGGTGCTATATTCCTGCCAGAGGGTTCTGATTGGAAAGACTTGGACTTGATTTGGCTGGCTCAGGACATCTTCAGAATGTCCTTAGTAGCAGACACCTGCCAACCCAGGTCCAAAATGATTGGGCAGGACAAGTTAGGGGATGCCCAATGGTTTTTTCCTTCTGTCTCTTCAAACTCTCATACACATTCTTTTGGTTGTGCAACTTACTCTACAGCTACTATATTCACCTGCCAGACACTCTTTACAGAATGTACACCTCACTGAGGATTATCACACACTTTTTGTAATTTGAGATCATCTAATTCTGAGAATTCAGAATTCTTTTTTAAAATAAGTGTGGAAAACACATTTGAATTAAATGAAATAAAAAACTATTATTTTATAAGTTTCCTTTTAAGCCAACATAAAAAAACATTTTGCTAAAATGCATTGTACCTACTACTGCAAGAAGAGCCTTCTGTTTCCACGTTCACGTTGTGACAGATGGCACTATTTCCCCATTAATGTAGAGTATTACTGAAAGCTTTTAAACTTAGGCAAGTGACAATGACTTAAAAAACATGCCTCAGCATCCACAGGGAAATCTAGTCACCAGATCGTATTGTGAAGGCAATATAGAGAAAGAGTGAGAGAGAGAAATAAGAACTTTTACCAACATTATTCACCAGTAGATAGACATTTTCCACTTCCTTAGTAAAGTGCATCTGACATTATAGGCTATAAAATATACCATAAAATAAATTGAATATGAGAAAAATCTTAGCAGAATCCTATCCTGATCTCTAAGAGAGATTGCTCTACAGCACAAATAAAGTGATATATGCCAAATAGAGAAAAGTATTAAAACCACCCCACAATAAAAACTTCATAAGACTTCCCAGCTTCAGTCTTTTAGAATAAGCTTTCACAGCAGAACAATTGATATTTAAATGAGGAGTGCTTAGGTCTAAAGCTAAGGTACATTTTTGTACTCGTATAAAACTTAAGGTGTCATCACCTTCTGTCTGAAAGAGTTCCAAACATTTTGCGATGTAGATCTAGTGCTCTGTAACTTTCTTTTAAAATCTGCAGTTCAGTTAACATACTCCAGATGGCACACAAGGTTGATTGGATTATGCATATGCCTCTTTGAGGGATTATCTCGAAAATGGAAATAATTTCATATGAAAACGAGACTTTGAGCTTTGCCCCTGGGGATATTTCTTAAATGTGCAGTAGAATAAATGTAACACTTTTAGCTTATTAGGAAAATATTGTTTTATTTCATTGCTTGCTTTTGCATGAAATAAGCAGGTCTATTTAATGAAGTAAAAAGTTATGTTCATTGTGCATTAACCCAATACTGACACTAACTCTTGCTTTTTTGTGTGCTCTGAGTTGATTAACGAAGAACTCTGGCTGCTGTGGTTTGCTTGTAGTTCTACTAAAATGTATCCAAGCTCAAAACAAAAATGTAATGTATTGCAGCTTCCCAGTCTTTAGAGGTGTTGTACTTGTTGAAAATGTTGATAGCCTGAAAAAAGAAAGCCAGTGCAGCCAACACATCTAAGGTCAGTTCCAACATTTTACATTTTTGGGTACACTTAGGTAGTAAGACAGCAAAAGTTACCTTTGGCCAGTTAGGTATAAAGATCCTCAGCCAACAGAAATCCATCCTAGCCAGTTTTTATTGGGTAGCTAAAAAATAGGGTGGCACAACAAAATCCACCAACTGCTAAACATTCAAAAGTGAATAATAATAATGACACAAATATTAAAAATAGTCATAATATCCTTCTCTGTGATATTCAAATACTATTGTGTACAGCAAAAATGTTATTTATATATATATATATATATATATATATATACAGTGATGAACAGAAGTATTTGAACACCCTGCAATTTTGCAAGTTATCCCACTTAGAAATCATGGAGGGGTCTGAAATTCACATTGTAGGTGCATTCCCACTCTGAGAGACAGAATTTAAAAACAAAATTTCAGGAATATCACATTGTATGATTTTTAAAGAATGTATTTGTCTTGCACTGCTGAACATAAGTATTTGAACACCTGAGAAAATCAGTGTTAATATTTGGTACAGAAGCCTTTGTTTGCAATTACAGAGGTCAAACGTTTCCTTTAGTTCTTGACCAGGTTTGCACACACTGCAACAGGGATTTTGGCCCACTCCTCCACACAGATCTCCTCTAGATCTGTCAGGTTTCGGGGCTGTCACTGAGCAACACGGAGTTTCAGCTCCCTCCAAAGATGTTCTATTGGATTTACAGTCAGGTCCATAAATATTGGGACATCGACACAATTCTAACATTTTTGGCTCTATACACCACCACAATGGATTTGAAATGAAACAAACAAGATGTGCTTTAACTGCAGACTGTCAGCTTTAATTTGAGGGTATTTACATCCAAATCAGGTGAACGGTGTAGGAATTACAACAGTTTGCATATGTGCCTCCCACTTGTTAAGGGACCAAAAGTAATGGGACAATTGATTTCTCAGCTGTTCCATGGCCAGGTGTGTGTTATTCCCTCATTATCCCAATTACAATGAGCCGATACAAGGTCCAGAGTTCATTTCAAGTGTGCTTTTTGCATTTGGAATCTGTTGCTGTCAACTCTCAAGATGAGATCCAAAGAGCTGTCACTATGTGTGAAGCAAGCCATCATTAGGCTGAAAAAACAAGACAAACCCATCAGAGAGATAGCAAAAACATTAGGCGTGGCCAAAACAACTGTTTGGAACATTCTTAAAAAGAAGGAACGCACCGTGAGCTCTGCAACACCAAAAGACCCGGAAGACCACGGAAAAAACAACTGTGGTGGGTGACTGAAGAATTCTTTCCCTGGTGAAGAAAACACCCCTTCACAACAGTTGGCCAGATCAAGAACACTCTCCAGGAGGTAGGTGTATGCCAGTGTGTCAAAGTCAACAATCAAGAGAAGACTTCACCAGAGTGAATACAGAGGGTTCACCACAAGATGTAAATCATTGGTAAGCCTCAAAAACGGGAGGGAGGCCAATGATTAGAGTTTGTCAAACGACATCTAAAAAAGCCTTCACAGTTCTGGAACAACATCCTATGGACAGATGAGACCAAGATCAACTTGTACCAGAGTGATGGGAAGAGAAGAGTATGGAGAAGGGAAGGAACTGCTCATGATCCTAAGCATACCACCTCGTCAACGAAGCATGGTGGTGGTAGTGTCATGGCGTGGGCATGTATGGCTGTATATTTATTGATGATGTGACTGCTGAAAAAAGCAGCAGGATGAATTCTAAAGTGTTTCGGGCAATATTATCTGCTCATAATCAGTCAAATGCTTCAGAACTCATTGGACGCCGCTTCACAGTGCAGA